TTTCAGGTTCCCGGTAATAACGGCAGCTTGGCAGGTGTCGCCGGCGTCCTGTTGTCTACAGAGAACAGCCGGTCGTTCTCGGCTCCCGTCCTCACCTCGGAAAGACGTCTCGCCATCAGCTCTCTGAACTCTTTCACGCCCTTGCATAAGCCGGAAAGGTCCATCAGCCCGGAGAGCAACGACAGCATTTCCGAGGAGCTCAACCACTTCAAGCCAATCGTCTGCTCTCCTTGCACGCCGCCGAAGAAACTTCCGGACGGAAGAGTCCTGAGTCCCGTCATCATCAAATCAACGCCCAGAAACCTGAGACGGAACCTGCAGAAGCCTACCTCCTACGAGGCCAGTCCCATGGTATTAAAGAAATGGGAGCAGGTTTTCCAGGACCGCCAGATGAAGAGGACTCTCTCCAAAGGCACCCTGACCACATCCGTTGAAGAAGATGGGCCGTCTCTTAGAAAGCCGGAGACCGCGAGCAAAGGAGCGGCGGCATGCCAAATTACATTTAGTGACGTCGGTCCGGCTGGAGATGTTGAATTGCCGCCCCATTGCAGCAGAGAAGATGTGTCGCGAGCAAATTGTGATTCAAAGGAGCAGTCGTCGCCTTGCGGCAATTGTTTCCGGAACGCCGAACCTGCAACACGGAGGGGCTTTGCTGATGCAGCTGTCAATGTGCAGGTCGGCACCAAGTCCAGGTTGGCGACTCGGCTGACCTCTAGCAGAAAGACAATTTCCACATGTAAGTGTTTGGTGGCCAAGCCCATGAAATCCTCTTTGAAACGGGCGCACAAGAAAACGTCCCAGTCCATTGGGGTGCAGAACGGCTCCTGTTTCTCTACCACGGAGGCCATCAGCCTGGCCTTCCCTCCACGCAGAGGGCAAAAGAGACGCTGCAAAACGAAGCACTTAGAGCAGAACGGCGGCCTCAAGCGGCTAAGGGTGGCTTGTCGGAGCGGTCAGGGCGGCTTAGAGAGGATCTGGAGGAAAAAGCTGAATCAAGAGGAGGAGGACAAAAAACTGGCTCTGAAACTTCAGCAGATATTCGACAAGGAAAGCCGCAGGGTGAAGCGCTGCAAGGGGAGCCGGGACGAATATCCTCTGCGCTCCAAAAGCACCGCCGGCGCAAACTAGATCTCATTTCTGCCTTTTTCTAGATGAATACAAATATCCAAAATGACTATCGGAGAATTATTTTTTCTAATTTTCTATTTTTGGACTACAATAAAAAGAGGAGCTGTGTTTGTAGGAGAGACTCGGGTGAATGGACGGCTACTGAGCCCACGGACATCGTGGTCCACAGGAAGAGTAAATGACCCGAGATGCCGACACCAGATGTACAGTATCTGCTGTTCTCTCTGATGTGTCTGGTCTCATTGCGGAAGGGCTTCACATTACTA